AGAGGACACTCACTCCAGGGCAGTGGGTTTTGAAAAGAGTGAAAGAAGTACCAGAGCACCCAGGCCAGGATGGTGTTGTAGAACATGCCCACAAGGAACGACACCAACATGGAGGCAATGCCTGAACACAGGAAATATTACTGAGTGTGAAGGAATAGCTCAAAAAACAAATCAAGTTCAACTTTAGAAAGAATGAAGAACTGCTTACTGCAGCAATTGTAAATGTATGTAATATCTGTAAAAAAAAAAAAAAAAATTTCTTCAGTGAAATTATTTTATTTATAACTCTAGATCACCCACCGAGTCCACCCAGCAGTGGAGAGATGGAGTTCCAGACTCCGATACTGCCCATTCGGAGCCTCTGTCCTATTGCCAGCTCCAGGTAGAGCAGCGGGAGGCCCTCAAACACCAACGCTATCAGGTAAGGGATGAGGAAAGCACCTGGTAACATGAGGAAGAAATAACAGATAACTTTCCCATTATACATTAAAAAGTGTTAGTATGTTTTACCAATCATTGGCAACAAGGGGAAACTACACAGAAAAAAGTGATATGTTTTATTATTTATTAACCTTTATTTAAACAATCCCACTGAGATCACAAATCTCTTTTACAAGGGAGGCCTGGGCCAGAAGGCAGCCTAACATGCATGTTTTTGATTTGTCATTTGTCATATTAGATTGGAATAGAACCCAGTGGTAGGAGGGAGACATTTTTGTTAGCCATTTAAGATTACTTCACAATCAGACATAGGAAATTAATAAGTTTTAATATGTTTTACAATCATTATCAGAAACATGAATCATTTTTTTTACCTTTATCAAAGTAATTCATACATTAGGCTGAACTGCAACAAACGAAGTCAGAGCCAGAGTCAGTCAGAGAGATTTATTTGCCATGCACACAACACGTGATACATGAGGTGGGATGAAGCTATGTACGCAGGGTCCCAGTTACATCCATCAAAAACACAAATTGTAAAGAAAAACATTAGTAAGATCCGAGTCATGAACTAAGAATATACTACATTCATCAAACCAGTCCTTCTCAAACA